TTCTCCATCCAACTAATAAAAGTAAAATTGGCAAATTAAAGAAATTGCTAAACAAATCTTTTAAAACGAGGATGGACAATGTGCAAGTCAGGAAATGGTTTTGTTGAGAGTTTCACTTGTGGATAGGTTTTTAAAAGTTATCCAGATATAGGAGCTTATAGATTTAACTTGGAAAGACTACCAAAATTAAAATTTAGTCAGTAGTTGTGACAGCCAATCAGTACACTGTCATACAGTGGAATCTTTGTGAAATTTACTGTTTTATAAGAAAAGATTTTCATGCAAATACCACATTCAGCCCAAAATGAGGATACTAAGAGTCCTGAAAAAGTACAGTGGTCTCGATATTCTGTTTTGATAGCTAGCGTTGCCTAGTTCTCAGCACATTTATTTTTTACTTCTTCATGCAGTCTAAAGGCATATTTCTCATCTGATGAACTACTACTGATTTCCTAATTTCCATTCCTCTTTTACAAAATATTTGTTTGTACCTGTAATCCATGCTGAGAGCACTTTTTTAATCTGTGCCAGGTGTATATTGTGTACACTTTATGTATGCATTTTGAAGTAATGCCCTGATTAGCTGATATCATCTATACTTACTCAGAATGTTAGCTCTACGTGTATAAAATATGAATGAAAACTACTACAGTGCTTAAAAATATTCATAAATATATATTGCTTTTTATGAAGCATTAATGCCAAATTTGAAACTATTCTATCACAGATCTATCAATATAGCTAGAGGATAAGACCCAGAATCCAGAAGCAGGTTTAAGAGAAGGAACTGAGGAAAGTAATACTGCTCATTTCCAAATACTAGAAATGAAACCTGCATAAAAGTTTATCCAAGAATGCTATCAGTCTTCAGTTAGAAGGATCATGCCATCACTGGCTAACTGCTGAAGGAAGAGAGTTTTCTTTTCTTAACCACTTTCCACAAAACACCAGTTACTATAAAAGGATAGCTGGAGCTGTGCTGCTTTCTTCCTGTGCCTCAGGCTCCATTTTTTTAAACTTTTTTTTCTCCCCCCGGTATCTTATTCATTGTAAATAACTACTGCACTTTCCTGCTGTTAATAGTATTGTCATATGGCTGCAACAACATAAAATGGACACTTTGGATAACGTAAGAGCTGGGTAGAAGCTTCTAAAAAGCAGTAACTGGACTTGCAGTCTTGTTAGTTATGCATGGCTGCTGCTTGTTAAAGTGCTACTGTGCAGAAGCTGAAACACTGGAACTGCCTGCTTGCAGAACCAGGAAAACTATGCTGTCTGAATCAGTCAAACTTCCAAATGCAAGTTAGTAACACCCTTTACAAATGAAAAGATATAAATATGTTTAGAGTTTTAAAGGAAAGGTTTAGAAATCCATAGCATTTTCTCTGGTCACCAGAGAAAACTGCTTGTTATCATCGGGAATTATGGGACTGCATTTTTTTAAAAGAACTGGTGGGTGAAGTACAGACTTAGATGGCAAAAAAAAGTTAAAAAGTATCAGGCAGCAAATGGTACAGTCAGAGTGGTCGCAGATACAAAACTACAGCAGGAGTTGACTGATAATCTTTTTCAAGTGTGAAAAAGGAAAGGAATGGTCATTCAGATAATCATGTGCTAAATTACTCATTTATGTACTTCAAGTATCAAAAGAAAAGCATACTTAAATAAATTAATCGTAAGCAAATCTTATTTTTATAAACAAAAAAAATATATTGATCTTGCAGACCTATAAAGCCTTCATACTCTAACATAAAATTAAATAAAATTACATACTGTATATATTAAAATACAAGTTTCAACTTCCCAGTGAGTTAATACAAATTCACTTTTCTTTGAACTCTAGTAACCCAATTCTAATCTCCAGTGCTTTTTGATAGTTAAACCAGAAAGAGCTATCAATATGAGAAGAAGTGTATGTGTGTGTGCATAGATTTATACACATACACACACACATATATATATACCTTGTTCCCTTAATGGGTTAATTTAGGATATCATATGTAATACAGAGAAAGTATGCTGATATTTTAATTGCTGAACACCAATACTTTTACATGTGGAATATTGAATTGACATTTGTTTATCATGTCTGGGAATGTGACAGATCTATGGAACAACTAACACCAATTCAAGGCCAGAATATGAGGGCAAAGTGGGTTTGAGGCACACAGAAACTTAGCTCATGGTGATGGGAGTTGGCTCCAGTTTCTATGCCTTAGTCAATTAAGCCACATCCCTGCCCAAGCTGCTTTGTCAATCCACCTAATACATCTACCCACCTTTTGTTTTCAGAAAACAGGCAGTGTTGGGGCTTGCTTTCTACTGTTGCCACTTTGATTTCTCTCTGTGACAAGCTCCAGAGCCACGAAGGCAGCCTGGCAGCCAACACTCAAGCTCCAAGTGCAGCAGAAGTAGGGAGGCTGCAGGAGCCAGTCACAGCTCTCGGGCACTGGCCAACCCATTGCCTGTAGAAGTTAGCATGCTTAAGTTGACATTGATCCCTCAAGGGACTAGCTACCAGCTAAACAAAACTGGAGCACAGGGCTAGCCAAGCATAGATTCTCTGTGACCTTGTGTCAGGTCCTGTCATCCTGTTGTAAAAGCCAGCTATGTTACCTCCTTGCCCTTTGAGACTCCCAGGGAATCCCCAAGTAAAACGGGGGGGAGGGGAGTTATCTACATCTACTTGTCTCTGGCCCAATCTTTTAAAAAACAAACAAACAAAAAACCAAGATGATGGAATGCTTTAAAAAGGCATATTAATTTCTTTTATGAAGGCTTACTACAATAAAGCAAGAATAATTTGGTCCATTAATTATAGATAATGGAAAATGTGGAAGTATCTATGTGGTTAAAGAAGTGAGCATACTGTCATTGATGCTATTATGACTGTCGTATACAGCTGGGAAAGGCAGACATTCAAATATTACTGGTAGATAAGAATATTTAGAAGCCAGGAGTTCTATAAAGGCTATTAAATATGCTGAGGGTAGAAATCCTCATTTGCTTGTGCAGAGGAAATAGAGCAAAGATACACCACAGCAGAGAAAGCTAGCAGGACAAAGGAGATACTATTGACTCATTCCAGACTGCCGACTTAGCAGCTCAACTTTGTTTCCTTTTAACTTTTGTAACAGTAGGAGCTCAAAGCTTCTCAGTCTATTTTCTGCACAAATAGAAACACCCAGACTTCAAAAAGTAATATGCTTTGAAGAAACCCAAACCATTAACACATTAAAAACTGTGTGTACTATTAAACAGGGCTTCATGGTTACTTGAATTTTGCAACAAGTAAATGCTGATGTTTTAGCAATAATTTTTACACTGCTGCATTCTGGCAGACAATTCTTGAGAAATATCAATGTGTGAAGCACTTTTTGTTGTTTTTAGTGTGATACAGTTTTATTGACTTTGCAGTGGGTAAGTACTGCTTCAATATTTTCACAGACTGAGTAAACACTACAGACACTTTTTCCCAACACAGTAGCATATTGCAACAAGTTTCTAACTCTATAACATTACACTTGTAACGCTGGGGAAAGCATACCATGTGTGGAATTTAGGTTTTGTTCTCGGTACTTAAATCTATATCCCTTTTAAAAAAAACCTTATTGTCCAGTCTGGACAATGGAGTGTCCAGGGCCATCAATATGACAGCTTCTACGCCGACGGTTTCCCTGTGCCAAAGTCACTTAAGGAGCATGTTTCCCGGCGAGAGACCGGCCCCCGCGTCCCGGCTCGCTCTCGGAGGGGTGTCCCGGACTCGAATCAGCGGTGTAACTTCACAGACACCCCACGCTTACAAATACGCCTCGTCTCTCCCACTAGAAATCCCTTCTCGGGCGTACAGTAAGCGCTTAAAACGTCAGAAAACGTCATAAACGCAAACTAATCGGCATCGTGTCAACCACACCGGTGCTGGGGCGTGTGAGTTGGATTTAACTTTCGCAGTGTTTAGTCTTGGGCTCGGCGGGGCTCTGCACGCCCCCCCTCTCCATGGGGCCGCGCACGGCCGCGGTGCCCGCGGGGCGCGGAGCGGGGGCAGGAGCGGGCGGGGCGCCCGTGTTCTGCCGCGGCGTCGGGGGGCCGCGCCCCCCCACCGTTGGCGCGACGGGCTGTCACTCAGGCGACGTCACAATACGGCTGTGTGAGCGCTGTAAACACGGGCGGGCGTGTGTGTGTGTGAATGACGCGGGGGAGCACCTCCCCACCCCCCGATCTCCCCCACCCCAGTGTGCCACCGAGCCGGCGCGGGGGGGGGTTGTGTGTGTGAGGCGCGCCCCCGGTTGTTTCCCTGCGCGCATGGTAGCGGCACGAAAGGTAGCATCACTGGAGCAGGGGATGATGTAATTCTCCCTCCGGCCAGTGACTGCCTGCGCTTGCACCGATCCGACTTGCAAACCGGAGGGGGGGGGTGTTTTACGCGTGATCGTATCAACATCTCCTGACCGCGCACCCCCACCCCCCCTTTAAACCCCGCTCCGCTCATCCCTCCCCTCCCCGGGGCACGGAGGAGGGATGGGGTTGTGGGGGAGGAGGGGAGCCCCGCGCCGTGTGTGAAGGGTAAACACGCCAGTGAGAGCCGCGCCGAGCGGTAAACAAGTCTAAGGTGCCCTCCCGCCGCACGGCAACTTGCAGCGGGCGGGGTGTCCCCCCCCGCACACACACACGCACGCACACACACTTCCTCTTAACAAAAGCCCGTTTAATATCAGCGTCAGCTTTTGTTCGGCGGGTAGCGGCAGCCGTCCCCTCTCCCGATCACCTTATTTCACCAGTCGCCCTCCCCGGTCAAATCCGCGGGGCCCCCACGCCCCGTCCCCCCTGAGCGCATCCCCACTCGCTCCGTGGCGCTGTCCCCTCACCGCACTAAGCGCCCCCGAACCTCCCCCCCTTCCCGGAGCTCCCGGTCCCTGCTGCCCGCTCTCTGGAGCAGCAGGCAGGTAGGCAAGCAGGCAGCCCCCCAACCCCCGAAAAGGCAGTAGCTAAATGGCACTTACTGTCGGAAGAGAGGGTGAGGGGGGAAGCTCTTCTCTCAGTGCAAAAGCAAAACAGCCGCTCGCAGGACGTTGTCAGTATAGGAGATAGTGAGGGGAAAAAAAAATCTTCCAGTAGCGGGAGGGGTTGGGGGGGGAGGGGGAGGAAGGAGGAGGAGGATTCGCCTTTTAACCGGAGAAAAATAAAATCAAAAAATAACCGTGTGTGTCCCCCCCCCGATTGCCTTTTTTGTGCAGTTTCAGCAAAGCTGCGAGGAAGTTGGTCCTTTTGTTCCACTATTTATAGATTGCGTCAACATTGCGAAAAGGAGAAGGCGGAGCGGTGGCACTTACTCCTCGCCGAGGGGTGGTGGGGGGAAGATATCGGGGTGGAGGGGCGGAGCGGGGCAGCGAGGGGACATACAAGCCCAGCGAGTACAAGCTACTTCAGGGCTCTCCCCCACCCGCCGCCGCCGCCGCCGCCACGACCACGGGGGGAACCGGGCGGTGCAGCGGCGGCGGTAGAACCGCGCCGCTTCCCCGCCCGGCTGCCGCCGCACAGCACCGCCCCGCGGGCGGCGAGGCGAGGCGCGCCGAGCCGCGCGGCGCGGCCACGGCGAGGGCCCCCTCACTTGATTCGGTGCTCGCCGGCTCGCCGGTACCCTCCGTCTCCATCTCCGGTAGAACCTGTTGCGAACCCCCTCGGCTGGGAGCTCCGAGGGCAGGTGCACGCACGGTCCGGCTCCGTTTTCTTTACGAGCTGACCCCGAAGGGTTAATCTGGGGAGCCGAGAGGAAAACATTTTAAAACCTGGGGGTCGTGAAACGTAAAAGTCTCTTCTCCGCCACCGGAGAAGGAGTGGGAGCGGGAGGAAGGGAACCATCGCTTTGCTGGCCGAAGGCCAATGTTTCTAAACTGAATGTAAACAAAGAAAACTGCAAACACCAGAGGAGGGCCTTCCACTGCCGCCAAGGCTGGGGGAACGTGTTCCCAAAGGGGTGCCGAGCTTTGCCGACCCCTCGTTTCCCTCCTGATCCTTAGCGTTCACGGTCACCTCGGCTACCGCCCTCGGGTGCTGCGGTACGGGGGGAACTTTCCGACGGCGCAGGGTAGCAAATTTCGGGGAAAAAAAATGTATTCTTTTTTTTTTTTTTTTTTTCAACTCGGATTTTTGGTAGGTTTGGG